CCTCTTTCCCTCCACTTTCCACCTCTATCCTCGCTTTACCTCTCTCACTTTCTCAATCTAACTCGCTAATTCAATCACACACACATACTCACACATGCACCCTTCCCTCCGGTGAGTTATCCCCCACAGACGCACACTCTATTACCCAAGATGCACTGCCCTGCTGCACGCCTGCCTTTTCATTGGTCAATAAAACAACCTGAGCTTTATGGCTCTACCGATTCCAAGTACATCAACTATAGAGAGGGAGAGGAGAGAGAGGGAGCGAAAGGAGGGGTGACACAAAGGGAGAGAGGGTGGAAAAGAGTACACCTGAGGTTTATGAGCCAAACTCCTCCTTTTGAAAGAGAGAGAGAGGGAATGGGTGAGTAGATTAAGTGTGGAGAGAAAATTGAGAAAATAGTGGAGAAGTAGAGAAGGGTGTCCAGAAAATATTTACCTCAGGGGAAAGGGCGATACAAGAGAGAAAAAGAGGCTATCACGTAATAAGGAAAGAGAGAGAAAGATGGTGGGTGAGATGAGAGCAAAGTCAGAGAGAGAGAGCGAGAGAGAGAGAGAGAGATCGTAAAGCCCATAAAAATATAGAGAGCCATTCATGACTTATAAAATAACAGCCATCGATGTGCAAACCAAAACTGCAGCGTAGATGAAATAGATGATATTTTATTGTTCCAGCCCCTAAGTCCCAGTCTGTATAAATAGCTATTGATTCAACATGTTTTATTCAGCCAGCCAGGCGAACTTTCAGGCCTGGGAGACGTCAGCCGCTTGTCGAATCCGAGGCTGCTGCCCTGCCGTGGGCTTTCTGCTGCATTTTTGTCCGCTGTCCTCTATTGGCTAAAGGTTTTATCCCAAGTGCCTCAATCAGAGTGGCGTTTAGTTGTCTGTCTGTGTTGTACGAAGAGGGTTAAGTGCCAGAAAAAGTGGACAAGAAAACTTTCTTATTTTTCTTTTTTCAGTGCAGTGGCAATGAAACAAAATGATAATAGAGGAAAACTGTGTGTAGGACTTAATTTAAACTTTACACTCAGTCACAGTTAGGTTCATTTAGGCCAGATGAGGGCAGTGCCATTCAAACACTTGGACAGGGGACAATGTGAGTCTGACCTTAAATTCACAACAGAAGTGAGACATTAGTGCAACAGGAGAATCCATCCATTCAATTTATACTTAGTCTGACCTTCTGCCGTCTCTTAGAGCCATCACTGTCACATCACAGGAACTGCTTTCTTTTTGTCCAAAGCTACGTTGCTATGTTGCTACTTTACACATACACTGGGAGCAGTCTTGCTCAAGGACCGCCTGAGATAAAGCTTCTCCGAATTCCAAGGAGAGGCACAGGAGAAAAAGTGTGCCCATAAGAATGGAAAAAAAAACATTGTTTATTTATTGATTGCTTTATGTTATTTCTCCCATATCTCTAAATGCCCATAGTGAAACTGGGAGCTTTGATCAATCATTATGTCATCTTTGTTCGCCCTCTTCTTCTGGTTTCCAGGCTGGAGAATCAGTATCACCTACTGCTTATCTCTATGAACCAACTCCTACTTATCGCATAACGTTAGCGGATGGATTCAAGTATTTATTTGCATTTTCTTTTGGCGATTTACTTGACATTCAGTTCAAATTTGCAATACATTTGGATGGGAACTCGGCTAGTGATCCATTATAAATTATAACATACACTTCATCCAGGCCAACTAATGGAAACACCAGAGCAAGAGCTTATGAATATCAGAGATACAGAATGCATTTTCTGTAATGAAAGCAACCTATTAACGCTCATTAAGCTCTTAATGTGGTCTTTACTGGAATTAATGCCATAAAACATATTACATCAAATCAGAAAAATAAATCAGACAATCTCACCTCACCCCAGAGTAGAATTATTATTATTTATTTTGTTTTGGTTTTTGGACTGCCGAAAAACATGAATGTAGCCTCTGAAAGAAACCTTGAATTTGAGTTTGCTGAACACTACCATCCCTTCGGGGGAAATCCATATTTAGCAGATAAAGCAGTCTTTTTGGATCTACCTCCAGCTTTTGCAGTTTTTGCGTCTTTCTTTTCTTCCGCCTTTCTCTCTCACACATACGCATCACACAGTCACACGTTCACACTTCACGAGTCCAGCCTGCAGGCCTATAGTCGAAGTGAGGCGCCCGGCTGTCAGTGCTTTTGATTTGAGTCCGCTAAAGGAGCGACGAGGGCCGCCTGACGTCCACGAGCGGACCGCTTCCTCGGCTACAAACTCACACACTTACAAACACAATTCACCTCCAGCCTCCGAGGTACCCATTTTACACAAACATCTATCTGCATCACTTGTTATCACTCTCGTTCTGTGTGCTCTCTCGCTTTCTCTCGTTTCTCTATCAGCTCTCTGGCTCTCTATTGTTTTTGCCTCTTTCATTTATTCTCTGTCTTAATTTTTCTCTTTCACTTTGACTTTCTGACAGTTGCTATCACTTACATTACATTTTTTTCTGCATGTACTAATAAGCATGTAATAAAACTGAATATGAGTTACTCTCAACGTGAGATTAAAAACTATCATCCAGTTCTCTACTGGCATGCAAATCAAGAACAGTAATGCCAAAAGACATTTAAAGATAATCATAAGGATAATCAGTCTGTACATTAAATGAAGTCTCTCTCTCTGGAATCCGTCTCGTATCAGTGTGTTCTTGTGCAACCGTGTTTGTGTGTATCCTGGACAGCATTCTTTTATTACAGCTCTGTGTCCCAGTATTTTTTTGCTCTGTCGCTCCACATCTCTCTCGTATTCTCCCGCGCTTATTGTTTCTCTCTGTCTCGCCTTCACTTTTACTCTCTAACTCTCAGTGTTCTGTGAGAATTTATTTCAAAGCAGCTTTATTGCACAACGAGGAAAAAAGTGCCTGGAGTTTGTAACACATCAGTGCGTATTTTGGTGTCACTAGGACTGTTTTTTTTCCTGTGAGCTCCAGCTTACTTTCTAATTTAGTCTTGTTCTCTGTCTAATTCATTCTGACCAGAGTATAGTGTGACAGGAAACATGGGCAGATGGGAAATGGGGATCACATGCAACAAAGCTCCCTGGCTGAATCCAAAGTGGAGAGTTTATGGTTATTTGGTACCCATTTTAGACCACTGGTCCATTAGGACAGCTCTCTCTACTGTTCACTTTCTCTCTCACACTCACAAATAATGAGCAGTAAACAGATATGCTATCTTTGCAATGCATCTCTCTTTTTTTATTCTCATGCTTTATGTTTGTTTTACCCCATTTGTTTGTTTATATCCTAGACTAACAGATTTTGGGTTTGATTTGGTCTACAGGGTGCTCTCAGCTCTAGTATTTCTTGAATTTTATGGGGAAGTGAGTTTGAGCTTAGTTATATTTTCTCTTTTTGTAGCCATAGCGATGATGTGCCGCTCATTCTGGTGGGAAAGTTTTCCTCTGTGAATTCCTAGTTGGCAGTCGGCTAAACAGTGCTGCCCTTGCATGCTTTTGTCAAGAAATCAAACCCAGAAGACAAATGACGGGAAACATGAACCATTCCAGGGGCTGTAGCCCTGCAAGTTGGAGAAACATTTTGCGTTGGCGGAGGAGATTTCCACTCCACAGAGTGCCTTCTGGTTCATTCATGTTGTCTCTTTTGTTCATTCTTCTTCTCTACCTCCTTCACTGCTTCTCACCTTGCATCCACACTTATATAGTGAGGATTTTCTTTTCTCACTTTGTGGCTGAAGGACAAACTGAAATGCTCTTAGAGACCCTGACACAGACACATGTACTTGATGAAGTGCTGAAATGTGTTTAGGGTTGGATTGCTATTAATGTGTTTTTTTCCAAACCAGTCAATACTCTTTTGTACTGACTGTCATTCACAATGACAGCTGTCCTCCAGTGTTCTGCCATGTGTGTTCGTGTGTGTGCACTCATTGACAGTTGTGCAGTGTGGAAACTTGCCAGTAGCAACATTACAACAGACATTGACAGTTATTCTAACGGGGGAACTATTGAAGTGCTTCTGCCACTTTAGTGGCCATTGGTCAATTTGCTCAATTTGTTCCAGTCTCAAAGTGGAGATCATGTGGAGAAACACAGACCTGTAGTAAAGAGCCAGAGTCACTTCAACTCCAAAATTGATTTGTATGCCGTTTAACAGACAATTTAGTAAGAGTTGATCGATGTGTTGGATTTGCTCTGATGTGACAGTGGAAGTCATCGGGGGGGGGGCAAACTCTGAAACTTGTTTTGAAATGAAAATTGATGAAAAGTTGCACACGAGAGATTTCAGTCTAATAAGAAAAATACATGGAGTGAGCAGTAGTTTAGTCTTTAATTAGTAATCTGATTGGAACACCAGACATTTAGTTTAATTTTGAGTACTTTTCCTTTTGCAAAGATAAAAAGGCAACAATGATATAAATCTGTTAAACTGAAGTTTTACTAATCTATATTTTTATATAAATGATTACTCAAATCTAATGGGTCACTGACAGGATTTTTAGCATCTTTCAACTTATTGTTTTGGTTGATCCTCAACACTCTCATCTCAGTTGGGAATCAGATTCAAATATTTTCTTCAAGATTTTTCTTTTCTTGGATTACTTTAGAACCTTACATAATTAAAGTCAACAATGTATATACAGAGAGACAGTTATAGGCTATCATAATAATAGTATTTATATAACCGTAATAACCAATGCAATAATAAGCTACTTTAGATGAAGTGATCAGTGTTAAATCAAGAGCATCTAAGCTTTGCTAGTCTAAACTATAAGAACAGACAATCAAAAACAACAAAAGGAATTTAAGTTCAACTATCAACAATTTGTTTACTTTAAAGAAGTCACAATGCTTCCAAACACATAAATGCTACAGCTTGCTAAGCTAAGCAAAGCGTAACTAGGATTCATTTATCTGAACTGAGCCAAATTTAACAAAAGTAAATGACCAAACAGAGTAAAGCTGACATGTTTAAAACTATACATCTCCTGTCTGTCTCCAGATTACCTACAAGGCCCTGAGCTCTTTGGACCCCAGCGCCGATCTGACAACCCAGAGGGGACGGGTGTTCAAGCTGAGGAATGAGACCCATCACCTGTTCGTAGGCCTCTACCCAGGGACCACCTACTTCTTCACCCTCAAAGCCTCCACAAACAAGGGCTTCGGCCCGCCTGTCACCACCCGCATCACCACTAAGATAGCAGGTACAAATTATATTTTTATTTTGCATTAATTTACTTTAGTTTCTGGTGACATTTGTTGGATCTCTGCTCTCAATCACACAAAGACAGTGTGTCACACTCGTGCGTATTATAATTATAATTATTGTTATTATTATTATTATTATTATTACAATAATAGCAGGTAAAGAAGGTTTGTCTGTTGGCCAGTTGGTGGGTTGGCATGTCAGTCACTATCTCTATGAATGTGTCAGTCTGTGTTTTTGTTTGTGTCTTTGTTCGTCTGTCTGAGTGACCGTTTTCATATCTGACTTTTTCTCTCCATTTGTAACTCTCCTTTTATGTCGCCCGCCTCAGTTCATAGAAAATGTCACTGGAACCACAGAAAAGGAAAACAATCAACTTTTGTGGCAAGAACTATGAAATGCCCCCACATGTTAATGCATTTCTTTATTCTGAAACAAGAGGACTTCTCCATTCTTATTCCAACTGTTTTGTGAAGGGTGTTCTTTGTTGTTCAAATGACAGAGTGACTGATGCATCTCTTTGCCCTTTTCCTCTCTGACTCACCCATTCTGTCTCTTTCCAGCTTTACCTAACTCTCTCTCTGTCTCTCTGCTGTTTCCCATTCCCCTTCCCTTTCATATGTCAGGGTCTCAATCACTTTTCCCTCTCTGTCGCTGTTCCTTCTTTTTCTCCCTTTTTTACCTTTCTCTAATAATCCCTTCCCAAATGGCATACCTGATTGTCTTAACTTCACCTAAAGGTAGCTGTGACCTTTAGCTATGTTTTTTTATCTGTATATCTTTGGAGACACTCACTGTAGGTGTGAGCCAAAAGCACAAAGTGCAATCTTACAATCCCAAGTCCTTTTTATATTGAAGGCACAATGTAGACTGAGCTATTTTTTTGAGGGGGGGGGGATACAAGTTGTGTGGCGTATAGGACAATGGATGATCTCTGTCAATAATCTATTGCTTGCATTACCAAAGCAGAATTATTTGAGGATAAATTCACAAATGACGACTTATTGCATTTTATCACTAGCATTAATTACATGCAATATGAATGCAAGAACTACAACTATGCATGCTACTGTTTACAGAGCTGTGTATTTAACATTTTGGCAACTGGATTCAGAATTGTCCTGAGGAGTTGCATTTACTAGGAAGCTTGATATATTTCATTTACAGTGGCGAAGGCCAATGAAACACGGGGTGGAAAGCTTCCAAAGTTTCTTGTAGATGTGACAAATTTACCCATCAGAGCACCATTTATCTGCTCAGTTCAATCTCACATATAATAATCCATTCCTTGCACAGTGTGTGGAGATTTATTCCAAAATCCAGAACCGTTTCTTTCAAAATCTGCGTGTTGATGCATAAACAGAACATCAAGATACTAACATTCAAAGCAAGACTGCACCTACTTGTCTTTTGATATTTATGTATTTGAGTATTTCCTAATTTGTAGTATAAAAGTATAAAAATGTCAAATCTACCCAACATAATCTAAATAGGGCTTATCACTTCTATGTTTTACAATGTAATTAAATAATGATAATTATTCATGTGTCCCACATGTGATATGAAGCTGAGATAATGGCATCAATCTTTTCTTGTAGCCTTAATATACCCCGAGAGGCTCTGCTCCAACACTCACATCTTTTCATATTCATGCAGTTACACACATTCCATCCTGGAAACTGTTCAGTGCCACAAGTGACCACTTCTCCTTTGTCACAAGAGGCTTTGGGGTTTATTGGCAATGTGGCACAAGATCACATTCAATTATACAAATGGTACACATGTCACATTTAACCCCCCGAGGAATATATCGTCAATCGAATAATGGTTCCCAAAGTTTCAATGACCCACACAACTGAATCCTGAGTCCTGGCAGTGTACGTGCTGATTGAACTACAGAAGACTACAATCTAACTGTGTCATTAGCGTGTTGACTGTCTGTCAACACCTACAGTGATTTTAGTATGACCTTTCCACTGAGCCTCCATTCCTCCATCATCCTTTCAAATCTTCACAACATGTTGCTAAGAGGGGAAAAAAACCTGGCGCTTCCACACATAACATAGATGTCTCCCTCCAAATGTCACGCCATCCCCAATCTTCATTATCTCATTCAGGGACCAAAGGAAAGAGGTTTAAATTAAATGATGGGGACAGATAGAGATGGATGGACATAGGAGGATGGGGTTGGACTTGTGTTAATAACCTAAATGCCACAACAATCAGGGAAAAGGGGGCTGATGTTTTACTCAGAGAGGCACTGATGCTGGACCTCCAGTATGAGGGCATGGCAGATGTGAAATTAAAAACCTGAATGTCTATGCCTTTCGCAGTGAAGCGTACATCCACCTTTTATTGCTCTTAACAGCACCTGATAAGATAACTCTTGTCATAGTAGGATGCAAAAATGTAATTACAAAAAAGCCAAAAGATCAGAGCCAGAACAGATTTGTCGATTTGACTTTTGTTTTTAAAGCTTTGCATAATATATTTACCTCTGCTGACATTTATTACAGAAGACTGAAAAGTTTGACATCGAAATAAGTCCTCCTTTTTTTATATTAACTCAAAAGATATGGTGTGCTTGGCAGCCTCAACTTGTACACACATATCCAAAGTGAACCAACCTGAAAATGTACATGCTGACCTTGCATTTTGTTTAAGAATTTCTATTAATGTTGGAAAACATTTTGTAAGTCCAGTATCCTTTTCTCTCCTTTCCATTGGTGTGTTTCTCTGACATAATGTTCATTTTACACATTCAGACTCATTGTATTGTGTCTCGTACTACACAATGTTGAAGTGTATTGGTGCAGTGTCAGTGTGTTTCTATTCATATAAGTGAATGGGTTAGGGTCAAAGTGATTTATCATTATACAGTACAGAATGTATGTTAAAAATATACAGCTACACTACATTATTTTTGTTATGCTGAACAATCATCCCCCCCCCTTTTTTTTTTACCCTCAGCCCCCATGATGCCAGAGTACGAGTCTGAGGCTCCACTGAACGAGACAGAGACCACCATCACCATCCTGCTGAAGCCCGCCCAATCACGTGGCGCACCAATCAGGTAATTTCTTACCTCAGTCACCTCCTCTCTTCTCCCCTCCCCTCTTCTCCTCTCCTCTCATCTCATCACCCCCTCTCCATTCACCCTCTCTTACTTTGCTCTCCTTTTATCCACTTTCCTCTCCCGTCTTCCTCAAGGGCCTCTTTTAAAGCCATTAAAGTCACTCACACATATAAGTCCAATTTGTATGCAAAGGAACTCAGAGAATGGGACTTTCTTTCTTTTTTTATAAATTTGGCAATGAAACGTCTCGCCATTAGTCACATGCATCATGTAGCTTTTTAGTCACTGCCTTATGGAGATGCAACTCCAAGCTGAGTTGACAGGCCCAAATGTTTAATGGTAATTTGGCAATCAATGTCTGGTCACTTGAGACTTGACTGCTTTAACTGAAGCTCCCTGCCAACAGCTTGTTGACATAAAAGGATATAAAAAAAAGTTTTTAGGGACAGGGATTGCCAATGTTTTTCTTTTTTTTCTTCACATAATGCACAAAAAACGTGCTGTCATGGTCACACAAACACATTTGTGGTACAAAGCACAGTTCAACGTCAACTCTGGAAACTTTGTATCCTGACTTTTAACTGTCACCAATAATGTCTTGCAAAGTTGCATCAGAATGCTAATATCAGGCCATTTATCATTTTTACACTCACACCCTTTTCCTAAATGAGTGGTAGCGAGGAACAACAGGAAGTTATCAGTCATGAGTATTTTTGTCTTTATAGTAATTCATATTAAAGAAAGAGAGTAGAAAATAACAAACACACAACTCACTCAAATTTCATCATTCCAGTCTCTAGTCCACTGCACTCGCTGGTTTTGTTTTAAAATGGACACACAGCTAATTTATTCCTTTTCCTTTTCTCATTTTTTCAGCCAACGTGTTTTTTAATTAAAAGTTCACTTTGAACATGTGATCTCATCCATTTAATTGGTGTAGGAGAGAACATTATTCTGCAGTTGCCTTTAGGGAAATACAGCTTCGACAAGGGTGCATGGAGAATATATATCACTTCAATTTGGACTTTGGGAAATGGATTTGTGAAATGTGAGCGTGGGTCAGTGGTTTAGTGTTAATTTCAGTAAATCCCACACCATATCTCGCAATTTATCAGCAACACATGGCAGATATATCTCATTTTGAATTAGGCTGCACTCCAATCACTAACATCTTTATCTGTTTATCAACCCGTTATAAGCCCCTTTGCATGTTTGCTTATTATGTGTGTTCTGCGCAAGTATTACATGTTTTAAGTGCCAACAGATGTACGTGGGGTAGAAGAGAAAAGGCATCTGTTGGTTACTGTGCACAATAATATTTTGTAGTGTTTTATTTATTTATTCTGAGGAGAGTACATCTCAAGTTCTGGAGCTTAGATGAGGAATATTTACTGAAATTACTGCGCTAAGAGGAGCAGCTGTTGTGGTTGAGACACACATCGACATGCATGCTCGGGTGCAGACACGTGCATTCACATGATGGCTAACAGAGGAAGGCAGTGCTAATGGCTAGCAGTGGATGTCAACACATGTTTGCTTACATAAACTTGAATGGATACAGTATGCACGCACATACAAAAACCCACAGAAACACACACAAGACCAGATTTGCACACATGATCACATGCACACAAACACACACATTCCAAAGGTATTTCTGATATGATATAATGCATTCACTGGCCCCAAACCCGAAACTTTGAACGTCTTACTTCTTCTAACTTTAAAACCCCAAATCCAAGTCTGGACCATCAAACACCCCTTTCAAGATACAGCAGAAATGTCCTCTTTTTCTAAAAACCTTCCTCACTTTACATAATGTTGTTCATTTAAAAAAAAAAAAATGTCTACACTGTCGAGAAAAGTCCACACTCTCCAAACTGGTCTCATCTCCCAAGATGCCTTTAAAGTTCTGAAAATTCTTCCTCACAGACAGAGAAGTATACAGCGTAACAACATGCATGCATATAGGAACACCTGTACCTCCAAACACATGTACACACACATTTGAAAACACACACACACACACACACGCATAATTCCCTATTCGCCCCTTGTACTAGGCCTCGGCTTCATCCCTAGTGCAGCCTCTGAAAGCCATTAGTTTTGAAATGGATATTTCACCAGAAAGGCAGGAACGAAAGAGAGAGAGGGAGAGAGAGAGAGGGAGAGAGAGACAGAGAGACTCATCTTTGGTCATCAGCAATTATCTTTTATGAAAGCTGCCAAACGGGAGCTGGGGATAATTGGCCTCGGCCCCCTTCACAGAAACATACATTTCCCTAATTGCGTATAATTGTGAAGTGAGTTCTTGGCGTGGAGGACGGAGGTAATTGCGGAGGGCCGCTGCGTTTGTCCTGACCGCTAAAGGAGCCCTCAGCCATTCATGAAGCCTCTCAGAGCAGAATGGAAACATGCACGCGTACACACACACATACATACACACGCATGTGCACAGACACACGTAAGAGCCCCCCCACACGCACAGATAAAGTAGTATTAAGTATATAAACACACCTCAATACACCTGTTCGAACAAGCACACACACACACACACACACACACACACCTGCTACAGCACATACAGTCACATGCACACCTGCTAACATGCACACACACACACACACACACACACAAGCAGACGCTGGGCAGAGAGATGTATAATTTCCAACTTATTAATGTGTATAAGAAAACACATGTATGCAAAGGAAGATATAACCTCTTATCTCCCACACACACACACACACACACACACAGATGTCTCTTACTTTTAATTCATACTTTGCTGCTGCTGAGTCAGCACAAGAAATGATCTGCCAGCTACTTTGTTAGAAAGTCAGCTGAAGTTTGCTTCCAAAGTATATCTACCATTTGAAAAAGGGAGTGACCCTTGGAACAGATTATATTCCTTTTTAAAGGATAGTGGGCATTTTCCTGAAAATTCTTTACAGACTTCAGCCCTATTCTCCTAATGCTTTAATTGCTAAAATGGATACAAAGCACTTTGGAAATTAAAACTTTTAAATGGCGGGTGCTATAGTGATTGAGTAATGGGGATCAGTACGATTGTCATATGTTTAAGCTGAATGAGGGTATATTTAAAGTACAAATGCACCTTTTTTACGAGTTCAAATGAAACAGTTACAAGACTTGCACCCATTTAAACCCTGTACATCTGTGCTATTTGACCAAATACATTTTAATGATGGGTACAAACACAATAATTGTTACCGAAATAATCACCACTCAAACAGAAATGACAAACTGATTGTCTAAATTCCAATGAGTGATTGTTTTAGTCAAGGCTGGCCTCCTCAACAGTACACTTTTTCTTCTTCTTTTGTCTGCAGAAGCTTCAAAACCAGCAGTGTCAGTAAGCAGCACACAAAAGCAGATATTAATATAACTTTATTTGTGTTTTCAGCTCCTACCAGCTCGTTGTGAAGGAGGAACGCAAGTCCAAGACCCGCCGCGCCGCCTCCGATACCCCTGAATGTTTCTCTGCCCCTGTCAGCTTCCGCAATGCCTCCATCTTGGACTCACCCTACTACATCGCTGCTGAGCTGCCCCCGTCCAGTCTCACAGTTGTACAGCCGTTCACGGTGGGAGACAACAAGAGCTACGGCGGCTTCTGGAATCCGCCACTGTCACCGGCCAAGAGCTACAGCATCTACTACCAGGCCATGAGCAGAGCCAATGGGGTGAGTGACAAGACTCCAAAAGTACCAAAAAACAGGAACACACTTTGATCAAATAGATAAATTTGAAAAAAAATTTCAATGGCTGATATTCCTACTATATGTGTAGAAACAGAACATTTCTGACATGTGGTGCCCCCATGGTTAAGTATCTAAAAAGATGCTGTGGCAGATTTACCAGGATTGTCTCATTTTCTTCTTATAAACAAGAACTTATACCATTAGACTAATAGGAAAGATGCTACATATAGGGGCTTTAAAACTCTCGAAAACTCTTTGACAGCGAGAAAAAACCTGGAAATTATATTTAAACTGATATGAGGCATTAAAATCTAACTAAAAACGAAATAACTTCCTCTTAATAATATGAAAGCACAGAAACACCCTTGTCCCAGAGAGATTTTGAAAGCTTTTAAAGGTTCATGCAGTCACTGTGTGATTAGTGTCTGAGGTGAGGTTACAGTTGTAGACACAGTAGAAGTAGTTTGAATTCCCCACTCAAGACCCTGGACCAATAAAGTGAACATTATGTCCCTTCTTATGAGGAAAAAAGGAAATAATCTTCACTCCCAGAATCCATCTGTTTGCTTCCCCTTTTTCACCTGGCAATTATACCGTCTGCAAATATAACAACACCCCGCCCAACTCTCTCCTTCTCATAACTCATTCACAACTTGAACTTGGCTTTTGAATTTCCATAATACTGTGAACCCCTGTGAGGGTTGTTTTAATTTTCCACTGCCGTAACCACGGTAACTCGGTTTGGCGAGCGGGGCCGGGCAAGCTGGCTGATGCCGTGATGTAATATCCTCCTCCAGAAGGCAGATTTCCCACAATGCACTCACACGGACAGAGACTGTGTGCCAGTGTGTGTGTGTGTGTGTGTGTGTGTGTGGGAGGGGTTATTGCATGATTGATCAAGCGTGCATGTGAGTGGATGAGTATGTGTTTAAAAGTGCGTGTGCTTTTGCTTGTGCTTGCCAGTTGAGTGTGTATGCATGCGCTTTGTATATGAGCAGACCCTAAATCCGGTCACATTTGATTGGATCTCAGTCAATCCAATCAGTGTGAGGTTTGTGTGGGTCATGGATTGGAGCATTGTGGGGGTGTTGGTGGGGAGGTCGGTGGCAGCCACCATAACCCAGATGATTTGATAAGGAAATCAGGCATAAAAAATGGACACACATTCATAGAACTTGTGAATTTCTGCCAATATATATATTTGTTCTGCATGTTATCCATCCCAAAGAGAAACAAATCATGCAATAATTATTGTTTTAGGAACATCCCAGCTAGTGCAACCAACAGAATGGTCTACTAGTTTCATTGTCTCCTTTTGAGAGGGACATAGATTTGTGCCAACATCCTAATTTGTTTTTAGTGTGTAACTTTGTAGTATTAGTGCACAATACAGGATGAATGCACCAATGCACAGATGTGTTAGACAGTAGGGTTAGGATTAGGGCTAACACTGTAGCAAAGCTAAAGCTGTTTACAGAGTTTGGGTTAGAATAACTACTTGGTTAGGCTAAGGAGCAATTGGGATCATAGTTAAAAGAAAAAAAAAACAACAACACTGACTGTCAGCAGGAAACAGGACAGAAATGGACATCTCGTGCCAAAGTACAACGTTTTTTTTGTCACCCTTTTTGTCATCACAACACAACCTCCTCCCTCTGCTGACCTTTATAAGGTGACAGTATTTCTTCCTTTGCTCCAAACAGACAAGAGCCACTACAAGGCTTTATCACTTGAACTTAAACATGTGTCATTTCTGGGCATCTGTGAAATGACTGGTGTTGTTGTTTTTCTTGGGAGGATAGTCTTATTACATAACCCTGTGTAAGAAAATAATCTCAACTCAAAAATGCACTTATTAGCTTTCTAACTCGCAGTAAGTGTAGAACATTTTGTGAGTGCACATTTTTTTTTGCATTGATCCCAACAAGTTTCTATACCTTAATACCCCACAATGTTTGTCAGCCACCTCAAATGTCATGGTTTGGCTTAGCCAAGTTAACAGCTAAGTTAAGGATTCGGAAAACGCACTGTACACTAAGCATAGATTGTTTGAAGTGGGGATGCAAACAATTTTTGTTTGTTAGGCTTCTTCTGCATTATTAGCCTGAGTGAAAGAGGTGTATGAACAAAAGACCAATGCTGTCATTTCACTGCCAAGGACAGTCTCTGTGATACTAGTAGCTGTGTCTTTTCCTGTTCACTTCCCAGGGAAATCAATGGCCAGGGTCAGGTACACATATTTATATACACAACAGCTGCCCTGGAGCTCGTAGGCTTTCAGTGCCTTCCTCAAGGATTCATCAGTAGAGTGAATGTTTGTTGACACAGCTCGAACCCAACCGGTCTGGTTGAAGGACATGTCTCCTTTGGCACAAAAGGACAATAAAGGTCTTGCATCAGTTCCTTTTTATGTTTGGAAAGCTGCACTGGCTACGGAGAAATTAAATTGGCCAGTGAATCCACCACGGCCAGTTGTCATTTGACTCTGAATAGACTGCTGAGCCACGTCTCCCCACAAAGAAGAATGTCAGCATTTGAATAATTCATTCTCTAAATTCAATATCTCCATTATATACTGCAGCAGTAAGGGTATGTGAAAGTGATATTTTGTCAATCAGGGATTTAAGTTATCTGCAGTTCTCACAAAGTCCTGTAATTTGTTTAATTTCCTTGCTGTCAGTCATTTTGTGTGAGTAGGTGTCATTTTTTTTTCTCAAGCTGCGGATGTCTCATATTGGAAAGAAGCTCCTCATTTACATCTTAGAGGACTTGGCTGGTTTGTTGTAGTTTGATCTAATGGATGAAAGTCTGTTTCTCATTCTCTGCCTGTCTTGGATAATCCTGCTCGTGTTTTTTCCCTCTGAGCTCCACCTGTCCATCAAGGAGAACATCTCTCCTCCCTCTTTCTCTTTCATTTTCTGTCACTTTCTCTCTTGAGAACATTTAGAAAAAATGTTCTCTCAATCCACCCACTCTCCATCTCCCCATTGCTCACTGCTGTTGCCTCTGTATTTTTAATAGGAAAAAAAAATCCCAGTATATTTTTCTCCATTTCTCATCCCCTTCTCTCAAATTCTTTTTATCTCTCTGTTTTCTGTCCCTTTTCTTTCCCTCAATCCATTGTCCTACTGTGTTTTTTAGTCCCTGTCTTCTTTTCATTGAACCCTTCTTCCCTCTATTTTTGCCCCTTCTTTCTTTCTCCAGTTCTCTTTCCCTTTCTCTCTCCTCTTTATCCATGTATCACAATGCTTCTCTCATTCTTATTTTTGTTCTTTACCCTTTCTCATTCTCTACAGCACCCCTTTCCTTCTTACCTTTCCAGTTGCAATCTCTCTTTACCTCCCACCTTGTCTATTTTTTCTTTCCTCCCCCTCTCATTTCTCTCTTTTCCATCATCCTCATCTCTTCTTATCTCACCCTCTTACTTATTTTCTTTCATTCCTACTTGTATAATCTGTCCTCTTAACTTTTTCCTCCCCCTCTTCTTTTTGTATGTTCTCCTTGTACTCCTACTTCTATTTTTCCTATCAGTGACCTCTCCTTCCCTCCCTCCTTTTCTGTTTTTTTTTCTTGAACCCATGTCTGTCTCTCTCCCTCTCTCTCTGTCTCCCTCCCTCTTTCCTCCTCTCTCCCCCCCTCGGGGGTGACATCGGTCTGATGCCAGTCTCTCATCTCCCATCATTGTGCCAATTAGTCGACGCTCCACACATTAAAACTGCTCACCAACGGCAATCTTGATTTCTCCCTCGATGTTGTGTGATGTCACACACACACACATGCGTAAATGCACACACACACACACACACACACACACACACACACACGCCACCCACATTAAAAGAAAACACACACACAGACAAGAAGAAAGTGCCTGGGGCAGTAAGTAAGAGAAGTAAGACCAAGAGTGATCAGGGACTTAGGGATGAGGAACGATAGAGGGAGGGAATATAAATCTTAAAAGAGTGAAAGAGACATTAAAGAAGATATAATACTGGAGGCAAAGATAGAGGCCGGCAGGGCTAAAGAGAAACAGTGGGAGAGGAGAGAGAGAAATGGAGGACATGGTTTGGCAGAGTGAAAGAAACCCAAGAAAGGAAGGATAACAGTGGGTGAGGAAAAGAGAGAGATCTTGAAAAATGCTGTTTAATGGTTTTAGACCTTTACATCAGTGGCTCTCAACCTTTTTAGTATAAAGGACCCCTTAATTAATACCGCTGACTCATATAAGATCACAGGGATCCTCGTTTGATAAGATTTAGTGATTCCATAACTGTCTATACTGTAGATAGGCAGATTAAACGCTGTGCAACCTATGAACAGAACAGTCTTATGCATTCTCTCATCGGGCTTACTTCTGCTGCTAACTTTGTTGCAACAGTTTGGGAAGGCTCTTTCCTGTTTTATTATGACAAAGCCAGGGAAAAGAGATAAAATACAGGATGTGAAATTCAGGAGAAATTCATAGGAGGACCGAAGAGGAGACGGACGGATGACACTGGGAAACAAAAGGAGGAGAGAGGAAAGACACAAAGTAGAGTAGAGAGGAGAATTGTTGGAGGAGAAACACAAAGAAGGAGGAGGAAGACAAGAAGAAATGGGGCGAGAAATGGCACGAAACAAAAGGAAACGGTGGCAAACACGGAAAAACATGCCCTCCCGTGCAGAAAAATGCATCCAGGCACCTTTCTTGACAAGTAAAAAGCCTCAGGGGTTGGCCAAGGTACTCTGACAATCAACGTCATTCACACACACACACACACACCTACACACATATACACACATACTTCACACCAAGCAAGCCTCAGAGTGCAGATTTTGGAGGTTGTAGGAAAGAGACATAGAGAGAGATTTTACCAACTGACAGTTGATGTCAATCAAGATGCACTCACCTGACTTGAAAATCCCTAAATGCACTTTTATTAGCTGTGTGTGTGTGTGTGTGTGTGTGTGTGTGTGTGTGTGTGTGTGTTTTGTTGAGAAACAAATAGAGGAGAAAGACAAATAGTAACAAAAAGTGTGAAAGAGTTGCTTGGGAAAAAAAAAAAGTTGTTACCCTGGCTACCTTGGGTTGCCTGGGAACCCCAACAGCCAATCACAGTATCCAGAAGTCAAACAGAAAACACACATGGTTGGAAATCCTGCCCATCAGTTAGAACACTGACCCAACCAACTGTTCGGTGGTAGGAAAGAAAGAGAGCGGGAAGTGAGCAGGGAGCGATAGATAGATGGATTGAGACAGAGCGAGCACCCACACAGCAGCTGCATCTCCTATACACACTTAGTATTCTTGTCAGGCTTAACAAAGTTAACTACTACACACACAGAAACACACACACTGTGTCTCCAGTGTCTCCACCGTAAACAACCCCTACCCCCATCAACCAGCCCCCCCTCTTGTCTCCCAGCCTCTCTGGATAGAGGCAGGGCAATAAATTGGCCTTACATTTATTAACTTTGCTTCTTGCAACCTCCTGAGGTTTAGCCCATTAGCATGAGCAAAAACGAGGCAGCGCTTCTATTCACAGTGACTGTGAATCCAGAGCAGCCGGGCCTCTAAATGGACCGTAAATAGGCTCGATAGGGCCAATTTCTAGAAAACACAAGTCCCTGGTACTCAGTGAACTGATCCTATTCCCATGGTGACTATTTGTAGGATATACACCACACTTAGGATGGGAAACTCAGCCCTTATCCCAACATATCAAATATATTCAGACAAATGCTGAGGGCTTATGTGATACTGTATCCCGATAGATTATTCAATATGTCAGTTTTCATGGAATCAAACTGTTAGACTTCTCATTTATGGTGTCTATTTAGGTATATGCATTCATAGTTCATTAAGGTTATATTCACAGTGTGGCCCAAATCAGATGTTTTTGCTCATATGCACAAAAGCACAAAGTTTTGCAGGGTGTAATGCAATAATTCATATGACATAACTCTAAAAAAAACAACGTGTACATTACATATACCACTATATCGGTGAATTTAATGGAGGAAGAGGGTTTTAACAAACAATGAACTCAGTTGTCTTTGCATATTATTGTTCTGCAAACTACATGCAAAACACACTGACCACTGTGTGTTAACATGCACCCATTCTCCTTTTCTGAACAAGTCACCCGTAAGTTACCTGTGTAATAATATTATGCACAGAGACCAATTAAAGAATCAAATAGAAAAGCTGATATTTAGTCAGTCATTCAGACAGACAGACAGATGGACAGCAGACAGAGATACAGTAGGAGCAGGTGTGTTTAGTCTTGTGGAGAGATCCAGCTGAGAGGCTCACACCATCCATCACCCACTAACATTCATCTTCCCTGCTCTTTAACTTCATAAACCGGCTACCAGCACACAATCAAACAGCACACATACACAAACACACACACACACACACACACACGCACACACATACACACACGCTCGTGCAAAGACAGATGCATCAGTATGCAGACACAAGCACACAAACGTGACAGTAACAAATATGCGGCATAGGAACAATAATGTTCCTTTCTTCTGTTTTTCTCACCATTATACCTTTTCTGTTTCGCTGTGACTGATTGATTGCACAAAATGAAAACACAAGATGGTAAAAAAAAAGGAAAGAGGAGCAAGTAACTGAAATCCACTTTCACATAATGCAGACACACTATTTTAGAAACACTGAATTATTAAACTTTATGCACTCTGTCTCTCCGTGCCATCTTTCTCCATCATATTCTGACAGTGTGACACCTGCAGGTAGATGTCACATTGCAATGACACCGTTCATCAATCAACACGATCAGTTTTGAGCATTGCAAGATGATTTCCTGGCTACTGTCTCCTGTGTATATACGTGTGCACTTATGTGTGTATGGCAGGTGTCATTTAGTCCTTTTCACTCATAAATTCCAATTGTCCTCCAAATGCATGCTGCTTAGGAACTTGTGTTGTATTTTCAAATTTCTGAAGTTAAATGCACAGAATGTCTGGTGATCAAGTGGTTTAAAGGGGGCATATTATGCTTCCCCTTATTTTCTTGTCAAATAACCGTATGTAAACATTTAAACTATTTTACGCAACGGGCCAATGTTCGCATGTCACAGATTACTTTATACGGTTATGTGCTCCAGGTACAGAATGCCTATGAATTACAGGGATGCACTCCTGCACCTGCTCAGTCAGGTGTTATTTGACCAATCTACTAAGGACCACTATTCAAGTTATTAGATTGTTGTCAGTATGTCTTGAGGAAAGTACTTTTTCGGTTGTGAAAGTTCCATATTTTCTGGTTTTCCCTCTGATGTCCTCCGTATGCTCGGCTTCAACTCTTGTTGATTTACAGGCTTTCTCTTGCTAAAATAACTAACTGCTGTCTCCTTTCAGCTAATAGGGTGGCTAACTGAACTAATGGCAGCTATAGTTAGCAGCTAAAGTAGCCAACCACTAACAACAAATAAAGCAATAGGACATCAGAGAGAAAACCAAAACATGTTCTCCATATAATATGACCCAGTTTCACTGCGATCGGTGAATACAGTTACAAAAGTTGTGTGCTTTTGTACAATATTCAGTGAGGTCTGGTCCCCGGGAACACTCGGCTCCATCGGCATCTGTCATTTTTCCAACCTAATTCTTATCTCATTTGTGGTCTGATGCATCTAAACATTAGGCTTGTAGAGGATTTCAACAGGTTCTTTTCTTTTTTTAAGGTTTCAGTTGTCAAATAAAATATAGTCAATTTTAATATGACCTGAAAATGCCAAATTTAGAGGAAAATAAATGTACATGGGCAGTACCTAGGGAGTGATTTTGTTCAAATGCCAAAGTGACAGGCGTCAGTGTCGACAGCTGCTGTAGTAATCGTCTTTGATGAAGACAAATGGGCCAACATGTGAAGGAAGCCAATCTCTGTATGACAAGTTGGTTAGATACGTACACTTACTGGTGACAGCACATTATGGAGGGAAGAGAAGAGGAAAAGACAGGAGCAGTGAAGGAATGAAAAGAACCAGGATACAGAAAAACACGCGTCTCTTCAGGAGGTGACAATCAGAAAGAGACTGACAGGAATGGTGGAACCACGGGAATGTAACGTGTGAGGAAGAGAAAAAGGAGGGCACTGAAAGCACATATGGGCTGGACAGAAAGAACAGCCGAGACAGAGGTTGGGAGAGATGTTGTGACCTGTCCTGTTAGTTCTGATTTGGTGATTTATAGGTCAAATTATGTCTAGGCATGCACATTTTTAAGATAAAAAGAGTAATAATATTCTTCGAAACAAGTATTTTTACAGATATTTCACAATATGCGTACAATACACATATATAGGAACAAATGGATCATAAAAAGAAAGTAATAAAGAGAATAAAATTGAAAAACAAGATGAGAGCGGAGGAAGGTTGTGCTTTAAATGAGTGGCTACATACAGTGTGTACTTGAATGAAGGTATGCAGTGTGCGTGTCCATGCTTCAATAATGAGTGTGTATGAATTGAGAATGATGGATCTAATCAGCGCACACAGTAACACAGTAGCATATTGATTCTGATATTAATAATATGTTTGTACATGTGTGTTTTGAGACTAATCAAGCTGGTCAGTGTAGTGCAAAATAGAACAAAAGAAAAAACTAATAACATGGTTTCATGAGCTCATTGATCACATTTAAAGACTAATAGCAGCATTGTGTGTAAATGTATGAGCAAGGTGTGGGTACTCTATTAATCCACATATTACACGGTTTTGTATTTTTCACCCCTTCAACAATAAATCGAATGCACTTTTAAATATTGCCGACCTTTCTCTGCAGAGCAGCACCTGACATTTGATTCTAAATTGATTTTCGATTAAAGACAGCTGTTGGTTTTTCACCCAATGTCTTTTTTTTTTAATCTGGGTCACCTCTTACTTTGATAAGACTGATACAATACATGGAACCTTTATTTTGTATTTATTTCTTAAGCTTAATTTATAAAAGCTGCCATCATGTGGTACTGAAGCTGTGAGCAGGAAGTGTTTTGAAAGTTGCGTTGTGTTCAACGACACTACTCCTTTTTGCAGTGTCAATGTTTGTTTGCTGTTCGACTTGCGATTTGATTTTCTCACGTTGCTTACACAATGCTTCGGGTTCATGAATGTCAAAACATCTCTGAGTGTACAATAAAGAGGTGTGAAAATGGTCTCTGCTCCATACTACCTAGCACCCATTGGAAGTAAACCAGCGGGTTGGATGGATTAACTGCAATATCCCCAGTACTGAGAATAGTTATGAGAAGTCGTTGAGTGTCCAAAGCCTCCAAAAACACAGGGTGGTCTTTTGTGCTGCTTCCAACCAAGATGGCTGACTGTGCTAATTTGAAACATCACGCTCAGAAACTAAACTCTTCTAACAAACATTTAAAAATCGAACATGTGAGTCTATTTGAGGGAATTGTCCTACTATTTACCACTAGTTACCTAACCAGTCTGTCTGTCTTTCTCTTCTCTCCACAGGAAACCAAAATCAACTGTGTCCGTCTGGCTAACAAAGGTATGAGCACTCTTCCATTGGTAGTTAGCGTGCATTACAGTGAAGACAAAATGATATTATTTTTACTGTCTAATTGAACTTCTTTGTGGAGTTATAGTGTGATTACATGACCCCCTAGAATAGTGTTACAGTGTTGTGTGTTAGATGAGATGAACACACACACATACACACACAGACTCTCTCATTGATAGAGGTGAACCCACAACTTTTAGCCCAGGCAACCCCACATCCTAACCATGTTATCCTGCATGATTTCGTTGCATAGCATTCTCTTTCTCCGTCTCTTCTCTCCTCATCTGTCTCTTTTAGTGCCCTTCTCTGTCTCATGTTCTCCCTCTTTTTCCTCTATCCTGCTCTCTCTTTTTCCATTTCATACTGCATCCATGTTGCTCATCAGTGTATAAAGTGGAACATCAGGGCCATTACATACCGATTGACCGCCTTCATTAAACCCGATGGATGGAGGCTAAAGCGTTAGCCCCAGAACCCATTTCATCCTATTCTGTTTTGCTTTCCCCATGTCTCCCATCTTTATTTGCTGCTCATCTCCGGCAAATACACCCATTTGTGTGCCAGGCAATGTGCTTTGAAAAGCTTTACAGCTTGCTATTGATTTTCCTCACCTCGTCTCTTTTGTCTATTTTATTTTTTCATCTGCATCAAACATTGATTTGATTTTTCTACATCTCCTTTCTCCGTTCTGTCTCTTGCTCTCTTATTATTTCTCATCTAAATCATACATTTATTACACATTTGTGCACATTTTTCTCTTTTATGTCATTCTTTTTTTCTTGCTTTATCCATTTCCAGGCTGTGTTTTGTTTGAGTGGAAAGTATTATGGGCGGAGGTCTACAGTGTGTAGACCCTGCTCGCTGTCTGTCTGCATGTGTGTGTGCTTGGGAAAAGACATGCTTTTAACTTTGTGGCTGTCTTTCATATGACAAAATGTTAACTCTTCTCAAAATAGTAGATAGAAGAATTATCTGTGTTCCCGAAAAACAAACTTCAATTCTACTTGAAAAGTTTTTGATATGTGGGCAGCATTCTGAGGCAATGCAGATGGCTAATTCAGCAAATGCCTATGACTAATTTCTTTGAGATACCTGTTATCCACTCTCTACAGCAGCTGAATCCACTGACAAATGCCACTTTTCTGGTTCAGTGTGTTCTAATCAGTGAAATCAGCTTGTGTACTTAGAATAAAAACCTACAAGCAGTAATTGGAGAAGAATTACGGTTTAGTTATACAAGCATCTGTCAGAGGCAGAGAATTGTATTTGAGTGGAATTTAGCAGAAAAAGCCAAAGAACCATGTTTGTGGCCAGGTTATGAAAGCCTTCACATAGAGAGAAAAGAGCAAAGACGATGTGCAATAATCATCACTAGCGCTCTTGTTACTAACTGAAAAAGCACAATCTTTGCACTTTATCTGTGATGATCTTCATGAGCACAGTAGAAGAGAGCATATAGCTGATGAAGTAGGGTTGGCCTGTCTTTTGGCCAGCCAAGATGCTATTTATGTTTCACCTTTATTTTAAAACTGAACATTAAAACATGTGGTCTTTATGACCCGATAAACATTTTACCACTGTTCTACAGCAGTTCATATTGTATATTTAAATTGTAGGCAACCATAGCAATAGAACGTCTGCTTTATGCTGCCTTGCCAGATTATAAGTTGCATTGAAACAAGCGCAAGCATACGTTCATCTAAGCACAAACATTAGATATTGATTATTTGAAGACAGTCTGTCTTTTTTTTTTTTGTAATTGGTCATTAATAACACACACAAAGGTTTTCCTGATAGAGTAAACAATAGAAACTTGCTAATTGACTGTTGCCCATATCCATTGCTTGGGTATATCAGTAGACTGTATCATGTATCATTGCTTCTTTGCAAGCTAATGTGCTTAATGTTACCCTACTTACTATCTGAAAAACTGGTTCTTTGGCTTAACCAAGTAAGTGTAAGCCATTCAATGTTTAAAGCTAATAAGGCAATAATCTGTTTGAGTAACAGGGAGAGACAACTTAAGCCACCTAGTTGCCTCATCATAGATGCTATAAACAAATTGTCAACAAATTATTGGTTTTTAACCTTGATGAAAGTATTAACTGATGTGATTTTGTCTCTGGGTGAACCCAGAGGCCAGATTGTGTCTTCGCACCAACTTTGCCACGCCACAAAGTTTCTACCTTTTTTTTTCTTTTCTTTCAACCATCACTTCTTTTCTCTTCCATTTCCTACTCCCTTTATTTTTATTAACCCGTCAAGCCAAGCTGACAGACTTAACAGACTCAAATGTTAACCCCCAGCACCACATCTGCATTCACTGCCTCACTCTTTGGTAATAAGCATCCTCACCAGCAACACATCTGTTAGGCCTTTTCCTGGTAATGGGCCAGTCAAGATGCTCATTGACGCTTACTTCCTGGCACTACGACCAGTCATATCCCAGTTCACATCTTGAGTGCTAGATGTCCTATTGATCTTAATGTTCCAGTGCTATCTCTCACCACTGCAATTTCTCTCCTCTAAGACAGATTGTGCAATTGAAAACCAGGGAGATCTAAACCTTGATGAAATGGATAAAGAAAACTATACGTCTTTTTTTCTTAGACTTTTTTCTTCTTTCTTTTTCTTTTTTGTTGTTGTTTGTTTTCTCTCTTCCCTCTCTTTCTCATGCTTTCCGGCGGGGACGTGCGGCCCTTGGCCTTAGTGGTAATAGGTAGGGGACAAATAACAACGCCGTACATTCTAGTCATCCCAAGCGAAGGTGATTATTGCTTTATAGGCAGAAAATTTTCTTCCCTATGTTATATTTTTTCATCACAGTACAACCATAAACACAACACAAACCCTGTTTCATTTTGGTTGTCCCCTGCCCTCCCCTCCTTTTCCTCCTCCCTTTGTTTCTTGACTTTTCTTTGTTTTTACTCTTTGGGTTTTGTCTTTCCTTCTCATCGCCATCTTACTGCATTTGTTTGCATGTCTGCTCTGCTTCGAGTGTCGCTGGCTGTGTTTGAACTTCCTCTCTGTCTGTCTTGCATCCACACACACACACACACACACACACACACACACACACACACACACACACACACACACACACAGCAGTGAAACCATGCGGCTTTCATGAAGTCAGTAGCCTCAGTATTGGTACAGTAAGCTAACATTTGACTTTGTCTTGTCTTCTGACCTCCAATGCAGTAGAGTTTTATTTGAAAAGGAAAGACTAACAACCAATCAGAAAGAACAGTATGAGAGCCATGAAACACATTGTCTTTGGATCTTTATTGCTCAGATAAAAGCAGACTTAAGTTACAATACATAAAGTATTTGCTGTAAGTATGGTTTCATTCTTATATTTATGGCAATCATTCATTCAGTGAGTGAATTGGCGGATGAAACAACAATGGATCATGGGAATGCCCTTTAAATAGCATTAATGGTTACACTTCTGTTGGGATTGGACATGGTGAAAAGGTTATGGTTACCCTATTTTAGCCAACACGCTCTCACTCCCAACTCATCCAAATGTTGGTTTTGTTTCAACTTGTTGCTGCATTTTTTTCTGGCCAACCATGCAGCCCCCACCACTGCAGCCTAATCACACTTTCCCCATTCAAAATGCATGAGAGGAGTGGTGTTTTTGCCGCAGTGCCCGATTTGGATAAATATGCAGCGTTAAGTTCCACTTTCAAAATAAACTTATGTTACATACCTGTTGTAACTTAAATACATTTCACATGAGGCACGAACAGTGGTCTCCTGGTTGAAAAGCCTGTGTATGTTTGGGCCATCCATCAACTCTTTCATATGCAAACTTTTATATTACTTCTTCTGGATTCAGTGGCACTTCAGCACACTACGATACATGGGAGCATCCAGACATGATGCTAGGGTGGTAGCAGCAAATTTTAAAACTTGCAGCCACTGACCAAAAGGCACTATTTGAGTTGGGAGTGAGAATGAGCTGATCTTAGCATAGGTTAGCCTATAGTCCACTGCTGGCCATCATTTTAAACCCTATATTAATACTGCAGTTACAGACCATAACTCACTAAAACATTTACCTCCACAGAGTGCACATTCAGGATTGGTTGTTTATGTGGTGGATTGATTTCAAAGACGTTTGGTTGAGCCCTAAAGCAAACTCTTTCAATCTACCAGACACCATCTTCCAATGATCACTGATGTCCCTTGATACCCTCAGATCACTCCTCCACCACAAAACACACCTTGTAGCTCATAAAATACCATCATGCATTTGTTGTGACCATGAGATACTGAACATAGCTGCAATTCAATTGTATGTCACACTCACGGACGCATTTGAACTGTTACGGGAGAAGGACATTGAACCAGGCATCTGTTTTTTTACCATTGCATTAATTTAAAAGATCTCTACTCACATTTGCAAGACAGTATACTTCATTATTTTATTGTGTCTCTACGATCAGCAGAATATTTTAAAATGGTGGACCTATCTCAGCAATGCTACAATATAAATGACATTTTGATACATAAATGGGTTATATACCAAAATAACAAATGCAATAACCTTGAGAAAAATGACACATTCGTATTCAATTTGCTGCATATTAGAACTGTTTTGTGTATTAGTGTTCTGTTATAGTACAACCCAGTTCTTTAAATTCCAATCCTAAACATTGTTTACTGGGATAGATTTTATTTTGCAATGCTGGGACGTGACACTAGAATATGAATGTCATTCGGCAATACAACTATCAAAATGTTGACTTCAACAATTGGGACACAACAGGGAATCAGTCAACAGCAAGCACAGTCGTAAACTGCTGTCACAGTTCTTTGTCAGGAATATGAGATGAATTCACATGAATACAATAACACTTATTGTCCTGAGGGAAATTGAAGTTGCAAGGCCTAGCACAAAGAATTATGCATATCATGCACAACAGCGGACACCAGTGAAATCCTAAATTGAATAAATATAGATTGTATTCATATGAAGCATAGTTGCTTACCTCAATGCAGATGAAAGCAGAAATCCTCTCGGTTTATTAAAACGACATTTCATTGCAGTGCTGAACATACTGTACTGTCACTTGGTAACACTTTACTTTTACAAATTGCACACTGTACATTGTTTTTAAAAAATCATTGCATCCCTTGTGTTCAGTGGACCATTTGTCCACACTGATAAGAGATTAATCGGTAATAGTAGTAAACACATATACAATAAAAGAAAAGAAAAGAACACAGTTCAATACATGAGCTACAATAAGTCTGTGGGCAACATACAACATTTTGATGCACTTTTTACCCTCCACTCTGCATTACTACTGTTCAGTGCTCTAAGCACTCTCATTCAGCACTTACCCAGTGACAGCAGCTATCTAACTCACTGTTTAACCCGATTGATATTGTCTAAACCTAGGAGGACTGAAACATAATATTAATGCTTTTAATTTGACAATGTGTCTGGGCTGAGGTTGACTCACTTTCAGTCCAATCAGTTTAAACCGTGAAATCAGAAAGTGGAATTTGTTGGACCTTGTCTCTTCCTTAGCTTACTCCAAATTTAGCTTTAAAAAGTTTGAGATGGGCAATAACCCTAGCTTTACAAATATAAAAGATAGTAGCACTATGGTATTAAATGCAATTTCTGTTGACGGTCTAGTAAATATGAGAGTCCACTTTTTCAACAGATTGATTTGATGGTGAAGCGAACACAGTCCTGGTTTTATCTCACACCCCCTCTGTGCAGCACTAGCCAGGTGGCAGAAGTCCCACTTTCTTCATCTGTCCTGCTTCAGTCCTTTAGAAATGTATATTTCAACTGTTATGCAATAGAAACAAATGAGCCAATTTAACACAACTATGTAAGCTATGAGTTTAAACAGCATCATTTCTTTCACAAGTCACGAGCCTGATCTTTTTCAACAAGAGAGCCTGCAGTATAAATGCAGCATTGATGTCTCTTATGCCTCACTTCCACTCGCAAGGTTAGCCTTGGCTTGACTATACTTCACTTTTAGGACTGAATTTCTTGATATTCCATTGCAAGTCATCAATAGTACTTTTTTAGTATCGCCTCAATCAAGGTTACAATCGAGCTGAGGCAATACTGAAAGATAGTGAAAAATTACTACCAACCACTGATTGGTCAGAGAGAATCGTCTCTAGAACCGTCACTTGCACATCATGGGACGTCATCGTCCTGTGTTTCTTGCGTTGAAGACAATGTCATGGCAGTTTCCGGCTGCGCCGCTATGATGATCAGCTAACTACATCGCCTACACTGAGGGGCTACTATCTGCAGTGGGAAACTAAATCAAGAAAAGTGCCTGGTGCCAAAAGCGAACTGCGCCGAGCTGAGCTGTACCATGCAGTGGAAATTAGCCAGTTACAAGACCATTATTAACATTCTGATTGGCTGAAGGGAAGTAATAAGTGCTATTGCATATTGTATATAATGCATCGATGAGTGGCACTACTACATTGGCAGTGTCTGTATGCCCTGCATGTGTTTAAGTTCTGTAACTCACAGGAACATCAAACCCACCCCTTGTCAGCCATACACTGGTATTATATGTCAGCTTCAATTCCCATTGCCATTAGTCCTGAGGTCTATTATAATTGCTGGTGTACAGAGTTGTGCTGTAACTGACTCTGGCGCCGTGCAATACTGATGCAACATGTGGCTTGCTATCTGTTTATGTGTATGTGTGATGTGAGTGTGCGTGACTGAACTGCAGAAGTTAAATATTGAAGGAATCATGTCTGAATTATCTTCGTCATTGACCTACGCTGCCGCTCACACACACAAACCCACATACAAACACAAACACACACTGTTCTTTACAACCTGTCCTCCTCCTATTTTCCTGTCATCACCAAGAGCTGCCTGCTTGCTGCTTAGTGAGTCACTTAGCTCTGTGAATTTGCAACAGATTGAGTCAGACTGTTAAAACAAAAAAAGGCCTCCTCAGGGGTGTTTTTAGGTGAATATCTGGCGATGATGTGACATTTTAAGGGCACAATACCAGTCAGCAATGGATGAAATGCTGCTCAAGCTGTACAGGGAGCATGCAGGGTTCGACTGCAACTACAGCTGACAGAAATAGAGAAGGAGAGAAAATGGGAGACAGAGGGAAAGATACCATATTCCAGAGAGGAAAAAAAAATGAAACCCAAGAGAGAAGGAGAAGATCAAAAACTAGAGAGAGACAGATAGTGACAAAAACTGACTTAAAGAAAGTCGGAGAAAAGAAAAGACAAATCCAGCAGTGGAGACAGACTCAGGCTCAAGGATTCTTTTGTTTTTTTATCGTAGCATTGTGCATGCAGACAGGTGTACCTGCCTCGCTCTCCACCAGACAGACTTTGTGGCGAATTTTTGTCTTATGCTAAGTTCGCCCTTCCAACTCCGCCATGAATTTTCCATCTGCTCCACAGCACAGTGACAAAATGTTCAATTGTCCCTGCTTAAATCTTAGGGGCCAGGTCGTAAAGCACTCACCAGCATGTGGGGATAAAGAGGAGGAAAGAAAGGATGGGAGTGCAAAAGAAACATTAAAGAGATCTGAAAAAAAAAATCACTTTTGGGTCTTAGTTATTGTAATATAGCTCATAAACTGTATCCGTGAGTTATACAACATTGCTTCACTGGAAACAACAGAAGTTGAGGGCTTTGAGGCCATGGATAAACAAGCCTTAATCATGTTCTTTCAACAACAGAAAACTTGTTGTTGTGGCTCTGTCTACATCTAGGTTGAACCTGGACATACT